TGTTCACACAAAGATATTTAATCCATCGCCAATAATCTCCAAAATTATCTCTATTTGGTTGCTAAATGGTGTGAAAACAATGGGATGGTAATCAATCCTTCGAAAACAAAATCAATGCCGATTTCATCAAAACACAAAAGAAATCAGAAAAACCTAACTTTATCACTCCATGGTGAGAAAATTGAGACGGTTACTACCGCAAAATTACTTGGAATTCAAATTGACCAAGACCTTAATTGGGAAGCACAGATAGCAGATATGTCTAAAAAAACTTGCATCAAAAATATTTCTCCTAAATAAGATAAAAGATCATTTACCTTACGAGACAGGAATTTTGTTTTATAACAGTTACATACTACCAATATTTGATTATTGCTCTATTATTTGGGGAAATGCTACCAAAAGTAGATTAGGCATTCTTTTAAAATTACAAAAGAGGGCAGCAAGAACTATTCTTGATGCACCGATTGAAAATCCGTCCACCTCTTTATTTACTAAACTCGGTTGGCTTACCCTTACACAGAGGATTCTTTACAATAAAATTGTCGTAGCATTCAAAATTATTACATTTAATACTCCACTTTATCTAAATTTCTATTTTATTGAAAAATCTCTTGTTTCCAAAACGGATATCTTGCTCCGTTCACAGACCAGTAAATCTCTTTTTCTTCAAAATTGCAAAACGGAATCCATGAAACGTACTTTTCATTATTCTGCATATCTTTTATGGAACAATCTGCCTTTTGATATAAAGATGTGTAAAAATGTTGAAAATTTTAAGATTAAACTGAAAAGTCATTTATTTTGCACACTGAAGGAACCATAATATTCAACTGACGACATACTTATTATTTTTAACTTGCAACAGCATTCTATTTTATTTTGTGTGTAATTATAGTGTTCTTCCTATTTTCTACTTGTATAATGTATATGTTTTGAAGTTTGGGAGTGACTTATCAAACTCCCCACTTTAAAATGCTATTGCATTTCTAATGATTTTAAATTTATCCTGATATTACATGTATATATGTCTTTGTAGCTTAGGAGGGACCTATGGAAGATTAGTTTTTTTGCAAACTAAATACGTTGCCTCAATAAATAAAGTTTTTATTATTATTATTATTATTATTATTATAGTATCATGCAAGGTAGGGCTTGTGATATATCATGTATAGGGTTTTCGCAGCCACTGAATTTAAAATTGAATTATTTATTGGAATTTTCGATGAAACGGAAAGGTTTGTTCCGCACAGGTATTAGCTTAGAAGGGAAAAATACAATTTGTAGAACCAGATATTTGATGTTAGTGAACCCATTTTTTCTAGGACACCTGTTTCACACAAAATCTTATTTTCTATCCAGACGAACCTTCAGTATAATAATCTATATGCATACAAAGTTTATGAAAATACACATTCAAGCAGCATTTAATATGGTCTACCACCTGTAGGACACTCCCTTCAACTTAAAAATAAATTGTTTATTGGAATTTTCGATTAAACGTAAACTTTCTGTAAAATGTAAAATACTCGACTAATATACCAGTTGTAACATGTTTAACATCATATCTTTCCACGCGAATTAACAATAAATTGTTCATTCGATAAAACGGAAACATTTTTTATACTTGTAAAATAAATACCTATTGTGTATATGATACGTTGAAGTCTACCATGTAATACGGAAATTTGCAACACGTTTATAAGCACCATATTATTCTACATGAACTAACAATAAATTGTCCATTGGATAAAAAGGAGACATTTTTTTATATATATAACTGTAAAATAATATATGAATTATCGTTTTAACATCATATCTTTTGCCTCCCTTTTCAGGGATGGACACTCAAAAGGAGTATCGTAGTTTCGGGGGTCCCTAAACTAGTCAATGTTCTCGCGTAGTTATGAATTTATGTCGTTTTTGATGAATTATTAGGATATATGCATAAGCTAAAAACACCAGGATATACTCTAGAAAGTACCATTTAAATTACAGTCAGTTTTTTCAAAAGAAATTTCGAGCCTGGTTGTAGAGAACCCCGTCGTTCACCTCACGGAGCAAAGATAAGCCTGTCCTATCCTAGGTATCATATGTGTAATTTTATGTCAACTTCACAATTGTCAGTATAAATATAACATTTACTTGACAATTATCACAATTTTCATCTGGCCTTAAAACATTTTAATTGGATTTGTGTTCCTGGTGTTATAAGCTTTCCAAATATGTATAGTTTGTTTAATAGGGAGGACCTTGTAGCGGAATAAGAGATCTTAAATTCTTAACAACTGGATATATCATAAATAATTCTCAATACGGCTTAAAATGGTGCAAAGGCATAGTAGATGAAATTAAAATGACTCACTATTTTGGTGAAATGTCTTGTGATCTGTGAGATACAAAATAATCAATTCCATATTATGCCCCATTGTATTGTTTATGGGGGGTGTGTGTGTGGGGGGGGGGGGGCGGGGCTCGCATAGGATGTGTCATTTTTAGCAGTATCACTAACATCATTTTCAGCATTACTTTTGAGTTTTTATTCATGTTCAGTGACTCTGAAAACCTTATAAAAGAGACATTATAAGCTATATAAAACAGTCATTCATGTTATGGAAATTCTGACCGCCATTTTGAATTTTCCCCATCTTGGATTTTTAAAACTCTTTGTTTAGATTAAACAAACATTGTGCAAGAGCTAAATCTGCCTATTGCAGGTCTTTCTTTAGGCCTGAAATGTTTTCTAAATTATTATTTAGACATTAATTAACTGACCCAGGCCATTATCAACTCTCGATGGCATCGGATTTCTCCGATATTAAATAAATTAGAACGTATCAGTCATATTTTGATTTAATCTAAAAATAGAGGAGCGAGACTTAGCTTCGAGCAACCAGTACAGTGGTTGAAATTATTGCACGTGTCTTGTCAAACCTTCAAAGGTTAATATCTTCGCTCGCAATAGAGTAATTTGAATGAAATTGTCAAATTATTCATTTTACATTATCTATTTTCGAACTATTGTAGCAAGAATGGCTAGCTCTTTATCTAAATCTTACGTAATGAATCTTTAATTGTAAGCTCATTGGATAGTACATGTCATATCAAACAATGAAATGACTATTATCTGACATATTGGCCATTTTAGGAAATTTTGTCGCCATTTTGAATTTCCGCCATCTTGGATCTGGGACACTCATATTTGAGATTATTTTTTATGATCAATGTTTCTGATATCTATTCAATCACTTAAGTTGACCAAACAGATAATTTGGCTTATATGGGTCTGAACACGATTTGTTAGTAAACATACGAACAGACATGAAAAAAAAAATCGAAAATGTTGCTTTTTTCAGATTAATCTTTTATTTTAAAAACTGATAGTATTGATTAAACAACATATATCATATACCAGCAGATGCAGAATTATATTATGAACATTTTGAGATATATTACATATCCATATAGGTGAAACTGTTGAGGAGTTATGAAGGCTTCCCCTACTCGCACTATTTCAAATAAGAAAAAAAACGGCGGCCATTTTTTTTAAAGATGGCCGCCAAACTGACATTTGGCAAAGTGACCCGGAAGTCCATCAACCAATTTTGGACACTTTAGACCTAAGGCTAACTGAAAATCATAGTTAAACCAATTCATCAAATTGGTAATGAATATCTGCCTGTCACATGGACTATAAATGAAAAAGAGATTAATAAACTTTATATGTGTAGGCTGATTGTTTTTTACGGACACCGACAGTAAAGATGGTGGTCCGAAATAAATATAGGTATCTGAATAGCAGATAGCCCTAAATTGCGCATTTGGAAAATGAAAAGAAATGGGGTTTAACGTCCTACTGTTCTACTCCGACTGAGCTAATGAAGACGGACATACGCCATACAGTGTGCTATGAGGGAAATTTTGCACGGGCAGCGGCACTATGGGCTACTCTTATATCGAATTCCAACTGTCAAGGGATCTTTTACGTGTATGCCTATGTATACACGGGACCTCGGTTTTTCGTCCCATCCGAACGACTAGACAGCTGTCCTTATCAGGCCCTTCATCCTGCACCACTGACAAGGGGAAACCACGTTGGAAAATCGAGATGATCTTTCTCGGCCAATGCAGGGATAGAACACGCGACCTCCAGGCCAGCGAGCCAGCGTCTTACCCACTTAGCGACCGTGGCCCCACCCTATAGTCTAGACTTTTAACATTCTTTGTAGTTATCTTAAGACATAGTAAGCACTACTCTTTAATTTGGTAAATCAGATAGCGTTCGTTGTGTGTATTGTTATTATTAATGACCAGTATATAATATGTATAGTTTCTGGTTACTAATGGCTGTATATCGCTTCTCAATCTCATCACCCAGCTTGTAACAAGATCAATCGAGAATAATAACTACTCGGATTTCTTAATTAATTAATTCTCGGTCAAGTATAATCGAATATTGTTTAAAGTTGCTGATTTTTAACCCCTTCAAACTATTTTATTTTATTTCAATAATTCGCTTGCACGTAGGAGGTCTTTAGCAGTTGGAGGAAACTGGAGGACCCAGAGAACATCCACGAGGTTGGACAGGCGACCCTACTCCTTGTCACGTACAACCGGGGAATCGAAACCACGCTAGTAGACTCAATGATAGGCCTCATGATACACCGCGCACGCGCTAACCATTCGGACCCCACCCCACCCCAACATTTTAGCGTAAATTAAGTCGTGAAAAATAATTAGATATTGTCCGAAAACTACAAATGGCGATCATCTACTTTAAGATATTTAACAGCCATTGGCCTAGGTCACCAAATATACATACGTTAATGAATAAAACAAAATTCTTTTCCAATCTGTTACGCATAAATTAAACATACCCCACGTGCTGTAGATTTAAAATGATAAAAAGCTATAATAACATTTTTTCTCGAGCCCTGGTTGCTGGGAAATGTTAATCTAATACATTTCATATTTTATTTGTTTCTTATGCGTCATATCGCTATACAGCTTCCTTCTTAACCACAGTCTTGTTTTATTTGTGTAAAAACAATACGTTTTACTATAAACATGGGATTTTGTGCTTCTTTTGGCCGTATTATACTAATTCTTTTAAATGTTATAATCCTGGTAAGTTAGTTTAAAATATGTAATTTATTAAATATATAATTTATTAAATATGTAATTTATTAACAGCACGGGCGTTTAAATGAGGTTTGATGTCATACTTTGAAATATATAATTTATTAATTGAACAGGCGTTTAAATGAGGTTTCACGTCATACTATTAAATATGTAATTTATTAATTGAACAGGCGTTGAAATGAGGTTTCACTTCATACTTTTAAATATGTAATTTATTAATTGAACAGGCGTTGAAATGAGGTTCCACGTCATAATTTTAAATGTGTAATTTATTAATTGAACAGGCGTTGAAATGAAATGAAGTTTCACTTCATACTTTTAAATATGTAATTTATTGAATGCACAGGCGTTGAAATGAGGTTTCACGCCATACTTTTAAAAACCAACAACGCGGTTGAAGTGGGCGGCTGTGGTGGAGCTGGGCCTATTTGTTTAAGTTTATACAGAAGTATAAGTAATAGTGTTATCTATTAAAAAAAAAAGTCTGTGCAGATTTGTATTTAATTTTTAGCGATTTTCCATTACCAATGGATAGTCGCTGTTTCGTAACAAATAAAATGTGATCTTCTTTCTTTTAATTTTAATTATTTGGTTTAGTAAACGGAGATAACATTTCTTATGGAATACGAGTTACAGGGGCAGATCCACATAATTTTTTGTAAAACAACCTTTTTTATGAGAAAAGTGTCACAATTGTTCTCGAGATAATGATATAGCCATATGTGATATCACAATTAATGCTTTGCATCAATAAAATTGAGTCACAATGTCATCGTAGTAATTCGTAATAAAAATGGACGTCAAACGGGGTGTTGGATTTCTCTGTTTAAAAAGCTCAATGTGTATGTATGCACGCCAAAATTCAAGCCGGGGGGGGGGGGGGATACATTTTCTCAGGAACCTGGCAAACCCTAGTTACTATACTTGTAACGTTAAACTGTTTGTTTAACGTTACAATTGATACAGTCTAAGAATCCTTCCGCAAGTTCAAATAGGTTCAAACGCACAATTGTCAACACATATCATTACAGTTTGTATTGGAATAAGTAATTCTATGTCAAATGGTGAAGACTGGACCACTAACCGAACAGTTTTTCTTTGTGGTTATGCGTTCTACATTTGCAAAGCGATGTTTCTTGTAATGACGTATTACACAAGCCGCCATGACACCAGCCAGTTGAAATTTCGCGTAGCAGTTGGGTTTCATCAAATCATATAATTATGCGGTAAGGCTTCACCTTTATTTCAATAGGTATATTATATGTTAAGCTAGGTGCAGTACTGTTTTGGGTTAGTTTATGTGTAAATTAAGGGAGCTATAGGCCAGTGACCTTTTTGTAGTGATTTCACTAAAAAACTTGCGCAAAGGAACTCTGTAGGACGAGCCACTACAATCTGTTTTACAGACCTAATGCGACATCCGTCTTTTATCTCTGTCCAAGATGACTGACCTTTAAAAGGTCAGACCGCTGTAGTTCTAAGGGTGACGTCACATCACGATGTTTACCAACAAAGCAAGGTGGCATCGATAACACCAAAAAAGATTACTTCTGTGGCTTGTTTTTGTTGTTTTAAAACAAACACGAGCAGGTCAATCAGATTAGACGGTAAAAAATGTACTTCTGAAAGAATTCAGAGTAAACAAACAGAAAAAAACGTCAAATTGATGGTCACACGTGCGTTGTTCACATCGAACGTAGTAATATGAACTGGTACGGGCAAAATTATATCGTTTTACCCATTTTACGCCTCCGCGTACTATTTTCTGTACCTATTTACGCTAAATATGGAATATTTTTTATCAAGATATACTTCAAACACCTTTATTTATTTTTCTAATACTAAAAAAAAATGTTTCAGAATTTAATTTGTCGAAAGAAAAAAGTTAATATTTTGTAGTCATTAAGTCGCATCGATGTCATCCTTATCAGTGATTGTAGCGGCCAAGCGAATATTCACTGCGGATCAGTGTGGAGCCACTACTGTGGCTGGAGTAAGGCGGAAGGCATCAGTAGTGGAACCATTTCTAGGCAAACCCCCTCTTGCAAAAATTCCTGGATTATACCCTGAGTTAATACTGGTACAATGATTGGGACATTGATTTCAGTGGTCTGAACTACCTGCACAGGTAGCACTGTCCATTTTCTTCAATGTTAAATCCGTGACATTTATTGGCCTATACGCTGGTGAATAAATACGCTGTGTTACACTGTAGAGTTACCGAGGTCTAGGGGATGTTCTTGAAAACGGATACCAACAATGAAACCATAGAAGACAGGTACAATTACTTCCGGGTCGTTAGTTTAATATATATTAATCTTTAACCCGGTGTAACACGGGTATAGCGCCATGAACCGGAAGTAGCATAAATACGAAACCGGAAGTGTCAGTCCAGCGCCACTAGGCAGGGGCGTGGTGACCAACGATTTTGCATGAGGAACAAGCCCCAAAAAACAATATTTATATGTGTAGGCGGGGGTCCCCCCCAGTGCCGCCGGGTAATATTGAGCTGTGTGGAACATGCTATAAAGTTGATCTGTAGCATATCTGACCCATGTTATATGTTTGACACTGGTTGGGCATTATGATTATAATGTTGAAAACCGCATTGGAACAGCGTGATTTGTTGCCATTTGCGAGGGTCATAAAATCTCAAGGGGGCACAAAAACTCAAAACCATGACGCAAAGCTCGTCATTTCGTCCCTCTCACTTAGCCCCTGCCACCAGACCCGTGTTACTCCCCGGTCCGAGCTACCCATATACACCAAATTTCAACCTCGGGACAATCCTAGTGTCTCCGCCAATCCTGAACAGATAGACAAACAAACAGACAGACAAACAAAAGACAGTCACATATATATCAGTATACATTTAAACTATGTACGGATGTTGGATCTACGTGAGTCATATTAACAACATGTTGTTTACAACTTACGTGATCAGAAGGGAATACGCCACCCTGTCACCTGGGGTTCATAAAAACTGAAATTCTGACATTAAAGATATACTAACAAATTATTGTTAATTTAATTACAAGTCAGCAAACCTCGAGCAGTATAAAAATAAATCATCCATCGTTTTGGGTATAAAGATCGTGATTGGTGTCGCCAAATACCATAATGATAGCAGAATACATATCTGTTGTTTGGTTCTTTTACACGCGTCCTCCGGTTTCCTTCCACTGCTAAAGACCCCTACGCGCAAGCGAATTATTGAAATAAAACTGAACCATATGTTAGTTTCGAAATGACCTAGTTTGTGTCGAGTGGACGTTAAACCATAGTTCTCTCTCTCCACTTATTGGCATTAATCTAGTCTTTAGTTTGGCTTTAGTGATATATACAGTTATGTACCCATAGTGTTGGCAAGATTCTGTGCCCAGTGGAAATAATGTATGCATATTATTGTGCATCGTCAAGCTTTTTTTCTTGTAATATCTGACGGACCTCTCGGTCACAATACATTAACTTTTCTCAAGAATTCTGACAGAGAAAAAGTTCGAATGACTCATTAACGACAACCGACATTACTTGCAGAATTCAGACCCGAAGTTAGAAATGAAAGCGAGAGAAAAAAAGGTAATTTTTCATGAAACAATTTTATACAAAATAATTTTATTTTCATTTATTTCAGCTCGTAGCTGTGGCATTGACCGCGGTGGGAGTTATCTTAAAATTCTTTCCCGGTAAAATATTTAACGTCTTATTGAACGTTATAACATCGTCGCTAGTCAGCACTCTACCGTTTCATATTCCTGATACACTAGAGTTCTTGCCCCTTGTAGATGATCTGGGTGTTGCCCTGATAGCCATTGGATGTTTTCTGTTTATCATTTCATTTTTCGCTTGTTGTGGAGCTTGCTGTAAATGGAGAATATTTTTGATTGTGGTAAGTATTATGGCCAACCCTGCCACGTGTCCGACACCCGTCACAACTTCTGTCTACGAGTTCAAAACTAGTCTTGAGATGATGATAAAAGAGGTAGCCATTCTTGCTATAATAGTTCGAAAGTAGATAATGTAAAATGAATAATATGAAAATTTCATTCAAATTACTCTATTGCGAGCGAAGATATTAGCCTTTGAAGGTTTGACAAGACGTGTGCAATAATTTCAACCACCGTACTGGTTGTTGGAAGCTAAGTCTCGCTCCTCCATTTTTGTCTTAAATCAAAATATGGCTGAACTGTTCTAATCTATTTAATATCGGAGAAATCCTATGGCATCGAGAGTTGATTATGGCCTGGATCAGTTAATTAATGTCTAATTAATAAATTAGATAACATTTCAGGCGTAAAGAAAGACCTGCAATAGGCAGATTTAGCTCTTGTATAATGTATGTTTAACTGAATAATCGAAAATCAAAATAGATCCCCCTGGAGTCAAAGTTTTAGATCATCGCATATACAGTTTTGTTGATTAATTGTAATAAATGTATGTTAGATAAATGAGTAATTTTCGTATTCTGGGGATATCTGACCCCGGAACCCGCATTGTAAGACCACAAATTCATTAAACGAGCTAAATCGCTAATATTTGGGACATAGAAATTGACACAAATTTTTTAATGGTCCGCAACGCATATAATAATGTAATATGAATGCATATAAATTGATTTACATTCAATCATTTCCCTTTTTACTCTAATTTCAAATCAGTTATGTTCGACGAAATACGCCAGAAGTCTCGATCGAATGGCAATCTCTAACGTCTGGTTATTTCAGTCTATAGCGATAGTATTTATTGCGCATGCTCTCCAGATAAGAATATGAGGTCACCGTTTGAAATGAATCGTGGAATACATGTATGTCTAGCCTCGTTGCACTAAAACCCTTTATGGTACACGATTCGTGTACTGATGGTAAAATGATTATTTTGTCTTCAATATTGGATGTCAAAAGCTCATCTTTTCCCGGTAAGATCACAACATCAATGTCGATTTAAACTGACAAATAATTCGTGTTTTCAGTGTTGAAGACTTTGGATGATATTGAGTTAGAGACTTAGCTACCTTAAATCACTTTCAGATATACTGTTGCTTAATACATTTTTTGTTGGAACACATAGTGTGTTATGTTGGACATTTTGCCCGAACAGTTACGCTATGACCTACGCTTATTTCAAATTCCCAGAATAAAAGCATTGACTATTTGTACCAGAATAAGCTCATCATTCTTATCTGTGTTTTACATTCACACCAGGATCATATTTTTATATTTCAGTTTGTAATATTCATGTCAGTAATTATAATAACCCAGGCAGTGGTTGGTGGTCTTTTTATTGCTAAAGATTCTCCGGTAAGTGTCAGGCAAATATATACACTATTGTCTTAATGGGTTTAATTGCGATACTCAAGTCTGGGTCATAGAGTGGAAAGATTATTACGTGACCATTGGCACGCATGAAAATTGTAACAAGTCCATAGGGTTAAAAAATTAAATTTATAATAAGTTTGAAGTGTTACTTAAGCCAAAAATAAACCATGTGTGTGCATTATCTTCCAGATAACACATGGCAACATTAGAGTTGGATTATATCAGATAGATATTGGATTTGCATATTATTGAACAGACAAAACTGTCGAAGTATTTTAGAGGTGTAAAATACAGTAGTTTAGAGGTGTAAATTCCTCTCTTCGGATATAACAGACTTGGAATGATTCTTCAATTCTTTAAATACTCAATGACGGCTTACAGGTTACCGACTTGATCTTAAAGTTTCTAATTTAAGACACATTAATTATCTTAGCCATTGTCAGATTATCACTCCATTATAATAGGGTCAATCCCCGTTGATGTTTTACAAAGATATTTCCATAGAAATTATTCCGTTTGTCTACGAAGTATTACTTTACACAAGGCAAGAAACCTTTGTAATTGTAAGTCGTTGCTCGGGAAAATAATCTTTTTTTACTGTCTTGGGTCGGAATGACAGGTGATGAAATATTCCTTGTATGATTTCGTTTCTGCTCTCAAATTAGTAGAGTAACACTGAATGACCTGTGTTTCCATAGATTGGAGATCAGTCTAGGTTTCAATTGACAGGCAACAGCATACTTAGATTCTGAGAGCTATAATAAAACATGTTTAAAATAAGTACTTGATACTTGAAGGTCAAGAGTCGTTAAAGTGAAATAGTCAGTACTAACTAACCTAGTTCTCTTATTTCAATTTATAATAGTCCCCAAATAGTCGGGACGTCAAATGCCAAATTATCACTGAACCCACTTTTGTTTGATGTATAATGATTCTCGGTGGATTATTGTTGGGTAGGGTCCCCTTGATTTTTCCAGTGTGGGTGTAGTCGTGTCACCGTTGGGGAAAATTAATTATTCAAGATGGCGGCCAAAATGGCGAGAAAAATACAAAAAATCATTTTTCACCTTCACAGGTCGTGTAATATATCGTTTTATAGGTTTTCGGGGTCGCTGAACACGCATACGGGCATATTTTAATATAAGACCCATCATGAAGGTGGAAAATAAATAAAAAAAAAAAGTTCACACAGCTGGATTTATGATGAATTATTCCAGAAATTCCAATTTTAGCTAAAACTAGAAGTAACAAAACGATACGATATGTAAAACATATGAAATGAAATGAAATGGAGTTTAACGTCCTACTGTTCTGCTCCTAACCTGGGCTAATGAAGACGGGCATACGCCATACAGTGTGCTATGAGGGAAATTTTGCCCGGACAGCGGCACTACGGCCTACTCTTATATCGAATTCCAACTGCCAAGGGATCTTTTACGTGCACGCCAATGTGTACACGGGACCTCGGTTTTTCGTCCCATCCGAACGACTAGACAGATTTCCTTGTCAGCCCCTCCGTCCTGCATCACTGACAAGGGAGAACCACGCCGGAAAATCTGGATGAACTTTCTCGGCCAATGCAGGGATCGAACACCCGACCTCCAGGCTAGCGAGCTAGGACTAAAGCAATGTTAACATTAGTGTATCATATTGTGTCATCTTCTTCGTCTTCATCATCACTATCCTCTGTTCCAGTCTCAAATGAGACAGAACTGAAGCATTTGTCTGAATTGGAACAAGAACAAAAATCAGAACATGATAAATCTGACTTTTGACAGCCACAACGACCGCTTTCACATAGCGGCTCAGATTAACACCCACATTTTATAACTTTTATCAGAACATCCGGTACCATCTTAGAACCATCTGGTACCATTCTGGGCACTAGTGATATTTGGGAGACTGGAAGAGTCCTCACTCCAACCGTAGTCTAGTTGACTTTAGTATGGTGGATAAGTTTCCAGGGCTAAAAAGCTACTTTTAATTCAAGGAAGGCTTGTTTCAGGCTCATCTTTACAGCTTCGTCTGTTGGAGGTAATGTCTCAAGTTTAGGAGCCTCTGCTTGATTTCTGCATCCATAGCAGAATACAATGAAAACTTTTGATAAATCAAGAAAAGTTTGATGAAATCGAGAATACGCAGAAATCAAGCAGTTGCTTCTAAACAGACGAAGCTGTAAAGATGAGCCTGAAACGAGCCACCTTCAATTAAAAGTATGCTTTTCAGCCCTGGACGAAAACGATCCACGAGACTTAAGTCCACTAGACTACGGCTGGGATGAGGACTCTCCCAGTCTCTCAAAATTCATTAGTGCCCAGATTGGTACCAGATGGTACTAAGATGGTACCGGATATTCTGATAAAGTTATAAAATGCGGATGTTAATCTGAACCGCTATGTCAAAGCGGTCGTTATGGCTGTAAAAAAATCAGATTTATCATGTTCTAGTTTTTGTTCTTGTTCCAATACAGACAAATGCTTCAATTCCGTCTCATTTGAGACTGGAACAGAGGATAGTGATGATGAAGACGAAGAAGATGATGAAGATGACACAATATGATACACTAATATTAATATTGCTTTGGTCATATTTTTTACATATCGTATCTTTTTGTTACTTATAGTTTTAGCTAAAATTGAAATTTCTGGAATGATTTATCATAAATCCAGCTGTGTGAACTGTGTTGTTTTTTTTCTTTTTATTTTCCGCCTTCGTGATGGGTCATATGTTGATAAGATGTCCGAATTCGAGTTAAGCGACCCCCAAAACATATAAAACGATATATTACACGACCTAGTATGGCGAAGTATGAAATTCTTGTACTTCCGCCGCCATTTTGAATATCTTTGTCGGAATAGGTTGGATGTTAAAAATATGCCCGTATGCGTGTTCAGCGACCCCGAAAACCTATAAAACGATATATTACACGACCTGTGAAGGTGAAAAATGATTTTTTGTATTTTTCTCGCCATTTTAGGCCGCCATCTTGAATAATTAATTTTCCCCAAGGGTGACACGACCACACCCACCCTGGAAAAATCAAGGGGACCCTACCCAACAATAATCCCCCGAGAAACATTATATATCAAACAAAAGTGGGTTCTCGGCACTTTATTCCAATCATACTCTGTATCGCCAGTGGTATTATTCCGTTCCACCCCACTAACCCCTAGGGAGAGCCACGTATTCAAATTATCTGCCCTTGGTGACTGTGCTATTTTTATCGACCAATCAAACCAATTGTTAAATACAAAGGAAGTCGCCAATTATGCCAAGACTGGTTTGTAAACTGTTTCTTGATTGGTTGGTAAAATCAAGCTACGATCAAGGGCAGATAATTAGAATACGTGACTGCCCCTTGATGAACCCAGGGTATAGTGGAGTAGAATGGAATGAGACCACTGTGGATACTGAGATTATATTTCAGTGTTCGCGGCCCAAAATGCATATGTCAGCAGTTCAAAATTTTAGATTTACAATTTCCATTGCTCCACAATACCAATGTCACAGTGTTAAAATACAGAATGCAGTACAGTATAAGAGAGTCATGCATTACTTATTTCGCAAATTACTCGTCTCCATTCTGTATTTTGCATTGTGTATAAATGTATTTAGGACTTTCTGCAATAGCACAGCGGTTTAAGTCTCGTCAATAAGACTAAGTAAAATTAAATATAGTGATCTCCAGCTAAGACTTTTACAAACATTCTCCGTTTTAGAAGCGTGCATTTGTAAATAGAATTTATAAGCCTTGATGTTTTTGTCAACTATGGATTGTCGGTCAGTAGACCACAGTTAGCAGTGGCTGTGATTCTCCTAAAACGACGAATAGCGAACGCCAATATATTGGGATAATGCGACTTGATGATTAGGCCTATTAGTTTACGTTTGAAAAAAATAAAACTGACAGAAATTGAAATATTAACAAAATTAACGCATTTTTAGGATTGCGTTTGTTTTTTGTTTTTTTTGGGGGGGTGGGGGTGGGGGTGGGGGGTAAGGGGATGGGGTAGAAGACATGTCTATAAATGGCATTAAAATATGGCATTTGTTCGTTTCGTTGTGAATTTTCAGGTAGTTCTAATTTTTACAGCAGAATAAAAAAATACGCGGGAAATAAAGGAATCTCGATCATCAAGTCGCATCATCCCTATTTTTTTGACGTTCGCTATTCGCCATTGACACTGCACAATAGGGGACTATCATTATTTCTCGGGGCTACAAGACTTACCTAACAGCACCGATTGTGATGGAAAATCTACAACAATAATCCTTGTTGAACACACGCCTTACACCATGTCATATCTTTCAATTTTCCGAATTTACGATTTGTTTTATATTTATTGATAGATTCATAAAACAATAAAAACTAATTTAAAGAACGAATTACAGTCGGATTACACCGGTTCACTTGGTGAAGACATGTTTTCACTTCTACTCAATCTGCTCATGTTCAAGGTAAGGTCATTTTTTAAGGTCATTTTTCAATCAATGACTTTAGAGTAGCCGCCATTCTGGTATGTCTCCAATCTGATTAAAACGCTGATCCTATTTCTTTTCAATTTTAATAGTTCAAAACTTCTTTTACTTGTCTTCACAACACTAGGATCTGGAATACGTTCTGCTTGATGTGAGGAATTAGTCAATGAAGCGGTCTGTTACGAGGGGGGGGGGGGTCTTGGTGTGCTTTGCACGGAACTGTGGGTAAATCACTAGAAACGTCAACGCTGATTGATTAATCAATGTCTGTCGTCATAGGGTCAAAAGACGCTTGTATGACCCCTGATGCGACCATCCACTACAACTGGTCAGATCTTCATGTAGTGAAGGCCATCGAAAGTATACCCCCCCCCCCCCAAAAAAAAACAAAAAAAACAACCCAAAATATAGATCTGTATTTTAATCAGATTGGTCTCATAGGCTATTTAATAATTTTTTTGTGATTGATTTGCTACCTCGTTTCTCGGGCAACGCTCACTTTAAAGGAAGAATCCTAGATTTCACTGGGTTTCCATCATACCAGCAGATGTCAGTAGGCAAATGAAAAGCTAAGATGTGAATAACTAAAGTCGATACGATAAAAAAAACATAGTTTCGATTATCCATTTCATGGTTTAATCATCAATGAACATTAAGCAGCAGATCGGGTTCTAATTCAGTAAATATCTTAGGCTAGCGATGACATCGATTATGGTCTGGATAAGTTAATTAATGTCTAATTAATAATTTATATAACATTTCAGGCCTAAAGAAAGACCTCCAATTGGCAGATTTAGCTCTTGCATAATGTATGTTTAATAGTAATCTTATTTTCCATAGATGGAATGTTGTGGTATTGAAGCTCCAGATGACTTCTCGACAGCCCATAACTGGAAGGAATCATTCCAAGACGTAATAATAAATAATGCCAAAGTTCCTGCAGCTTGTTGTAACCAAACTATATTCTCGCATTTACCACTCTTACAGAATTGCGTTGTTAATGGCGACGTCAAATACATAAATTCGATGGTATGGCTAATTTTTAAAGTATTTTGATAAATTCTCACAAGGGATATCTAAAGTCGTAACATGTTTAGAGGTGGTGCTGTCCAGTACGGTTCTTAGGTGCAATAACCAAACTTGCCAACCACCACGCCTCACATTAGCTACCACTAGTGATGTGATGTTAGTTTATCTATTGTCAGGCAGCACCAATGAATTCATTTTGCATGGGCTTAGGGGGTGTTGGTTTAGATTTGATAAACATAGTCGCCCAGCCCCATACAGTTGCGTGACAAGAAGTAGGGTCGCCTGTCCAACCTCGCTATTTTCTCAGGGTCCTCAGGTTTCCCCCCACTGCTAAAGACCCCAACGCGCAAGCGAATTATTAAAATAAAATTGAACCATCTGTTAGCCTCGAAATGCCCCCCCCCCCTCTTGATTATCCCATGGGGAAAGTTTCGGGGCAAATTCAGATAATTTTGAATATCCCCTTTGTGAACATCAAATGTATTTGAAATAACTTTGCTAAGCATATGTGACATTTCCCAAAAGAAATTATTTAATACGGTGAACGCTTGTATATTATTTGTTATTATAGGGTTGTTATTATAGACTATATTATTTGTTATTATAGGGGTGTTATTATAGACTATATTATTTGTTATTATAGGGTTGTTATTATAGACTATATGAGTATGTAGATGATAACAGACTGTATGCTATATTAGGATTATGTGCAGTTCTACTGATACAGGTAGGTTAATCGTATTAGACTAAAGCCATGTACACACTAACGATTATTTGTCGACGATTTCCTTCGATAGCCCGACAATGAAAGTTTAATGAAATTGGGTTTTAATGTCCTACTGTTCTGCTCCGACTGGGCTAATAAAGACCGGCATACGCCATGCAATGTGCTATCGAAATCCAACTGCCAAGGGATCTTTTTACGTGCACGGGACCTCGTTTTTTCGTCCCATCCGAACGACTAGACAGCTATCCTTGTCAGGCCTTCCATCCTGCACCACTGACAAGGGGAAAAATACCAATGAACTTGCTCGACCAATGCAGGGATCGAACACGCGATCTCCAGGCTAGCGACCTATATAGTGCCATTTTTTTAGTGAATAAATCACAATATTTTAACAAGGTTATTGTCTAATACAATAGAAGGGATGAAGGAGAAACCATTAACCACGTTATTGTCTAATACAATAGAAGAGATGAAGGAGAAAAACTTCCCTTTAAAATCTATAGCTTTACATTTAAAATGTGTTTGAACTTCTTCTAAAGCTCATTTTTAAATCCTTTTAAAAAGTTCTTTTAAATTAACAAGGCCCATTCCTGGCCCGACAAATTGTCCTCGACGTTTCTTTGACTATATTTTTCACTGTGGATTATCAAATCTATTTCAAAAAATATTGCACACTCTTATAATAAAAATTGTTTGTTTTTATATTTAATTTTTCAGATTATTCTAGTGGTGTTTGGTATAGTGTTAATAAAACAGATTAATGACCAAAAGATATTACCAATCTAAATGTAGCGGGGGGGGGGGGGGGCTAAATCTATTTGTTAAGGCCAGCTCAATTTTTTGTCAAGGTCGCTGAGATGCAAACAAGGTTAGGGCACGTGATTGTTGGCGAGATTGTAGGTTAGGGTTATGGTAAGCATTGGGGCTAGGTCCAGGGTTAGGGTTGGGATTAGCGCTAGCCCTGTTTACATCTCGTGACCTATGACGAAAAATTGAGCTGGCCTTATCATTTAGTACTAACCGTGTAGTGGAGGCTCAGAAAATTAGTGACTGTGATACTAAAACAACCAAAAAACAAACAGACACATATCATGGTATTTATTGTTGGATGATGGCTGTCGCTCAATTATTCCCTAATCATTTTCAAAACTATATGTAAATGTCTCCATAGGATTTTTTGATTTGATTGATGGCCTGGACCAGTGGTTCTCAACCAGTGTGCCGCGAGATCTTTCTAATCGTGCCGTGAAATTTTGAACAGCACACTTAGAAAATGCGAAAAACCACGTGATCCCAATTGAGTATTCCCTGGTGTCTACTGATGAGGTTTTCTTTATTTAGTTTGAGTCATTCTATATGTCTATAACTAGTATCTGTCTACGGTTGTATGTCGTCTGACTTGCCATGTTTTTTTTGTGCAAAATTCAGATATTTTTCATATATATATTTAGCCAGGTGTGCCGCTATTTTTCCATGTGTTCCAAGGTGTGCCGTTGGCAAAAAAGGGCTGAGAACCACTGGACTGGACCCACTTATATATTAGCACATTTGAAACAATCTAGATTATAACATGTGTTTCTTTATATAAGAACCCAGGGCTCTGTTTCTCGAAATCTTAACTAAAGATAAAATTCAAATTTTAGTAGATACTTCAATTTTGATTGGCTAAGTACTAAAATCAATCTAATTACTAAAATTTGGATTTTTATCGTAGTTAAAATTTAGTAAAACAGGCCCCAAATTTATTGTTTTAAAATGTTCTTGTTGATATGGAAACCCAGATTTTAAAATGTACTTTTATATATATAGGAATCCAGACTCAAGGTTTAAAAATGTTTATACAGCAACCTATATTTATGATTTTAAAAAATGTGATTGTTTATATGGGAACCCAGTGTTAATCTTCAATATTGCTCCTATTTGAAATATTTAATTGTTATTTATTTTTCTTTCTGTGTTTAAAACTTGTGTATGTAAATAGATAAATATAATATTTGACTCGTGATGATAAGATTTAAAATTTGATCACTAATTAACATAAAGCCTTACGACTATGTAGTCATCTGATACCCACCCCACCCCACCTCATACGTGGCGGCTAAAAATAAGCTCATTTAACTAATGGAAGAATTCGACCACACAGGGGATAGAACCCCGGATGTCTTTACTTCTCGGCGATTCCTCACTGAGCCATCGTGGCTTCCGAATATTTCATAGAGAATGTAGTCATGGCCTACTTAACGTAGATACAAGTATTTGATCAGTCCTGTTATCGTCAAGGACAAATCTAAAGATATGAATTTATATAGCGACAAACATTGTTTATACTATCAGTCAGATTTCGTCACTCTATCAACTATGTTCTGTCGATTGATTTTGGCTGTTATCGTTGTGGGAGGGATTTCAGCTGAGTTCCCGTTCCGAAATACCAGTTTACCATGGGATGAACGAGTCCAAGACTTGGTGAACAGGTTGACCCTGCAGGAAATGATGGAACAGATGGCCCATGAACTACCTAAAGTGGATCAAAGCGTCCCAGCTATCCCAAGACTGGGTATCAAAAATTACACGTGGATAACTGAATGCCTAAGAGGTGATGTTAAGGCGGGGAATGCAACCTCCTTCCCACAAGCACTCGGTTTATCTGCAACTTTTGACTCCAATTTAATTTTCCGCGTAGCACGAGCAACTGGCATGGAAGTGAGAGCGAAGAATAACGACTTTGAGAAGCAAGGACTGTACACCATGCACAAAGGCCTGAGTTGTTTTAGTCCTGTGATCAATATTATGAGAGATGCCCGATGGGGAAGAAATCAAGAGACTTACGGCGAGGATCCTTATCTTACAGGAATGCATGCCCAGCAATTCGTAAAGGGTTTACAAGGCGATAATCCGAGGTTCCTTTTGGTAAATTCTGGATGCAAGCATTTTGATGCTTACGCCGGTCCTGAAAATATTCCCGTTTCCAGATTCAGCTTTGACGCTCAGGTGTCCATCCGGGATTGGAGGACCACGTTCTTACCAGCGTTCCAGAAATGTGTGGAAGCAGGAACATACAACATCATGTGTAGCTATAATAGTATCAATGGGATACCGTCTTGCGCCAACAAAGAACTTTTAACCAACATCCTCCGTGATGAGTGGGGATTCAAAGGATATGTGGTTAGCGATGCTGGAGCTGTAGAACACATCATTCATAGTCATCAGTACCTCAATAACAGTATGGACACCGTGGTAGCGAGTATAAATGCCGGTGTGAACTTAGCTGTGGCTAGTTTTAAATTCGACTATACTCCCGTTTATTTCTCTATCGTGGATGCTGTCAATCAGGGGAGATTAACAATTGAAAAGATAAGGGATATGATGAAACCGATGTGGTACACTAGAATGAGACTCGGCGAATTCGATCCCCCGGAATCTAATCCCTATAAAGCACTCGATCTTTCAGTTGTTGAGAGCCCTGAACACCAAGCTTTAGCTGTAGAAGCTGCACTAAAATCATTCGTATTACTTAAGAACGAGCAATTTTTACCACTGAGAAAATTGATTCAGGGGAAAGTGAGCATCATTGGACCCATGGCAGACAACAAGATTCAGATATTCGGAGATTACGGTCCGAATACAGATCCTAAATTTATTAAAACACCTTTAGATACGCTCAAAGTCCTTGGTACCGAATTCGGGTATGCCGCTGGTTGTATGGACGGTACACCATGTTTGAAGTATGACAATCAGTCTATAGCTGATGCTGTGAAAGATTCTAAAGTGGTTATTGTATGTCTCGGATTAGGTAAACATTAACTGAAATCTTCATATAACTATAAACATTAAAGTAATAAACATTCTTTTTACAAAGAGAAACATACACAATGGTGTTGAATGTTGTGTAATTTAGTATTTTACAAAATAATCTTTTATAGGTGGTTGCAAGGTAAACCATGAAGCTAATCACACACACAAGTGCAATCTCACCACGGTCGGGGTGCTTTCCTGCAGCATAACAATATCATTTTCAATATCGTAACTACATAAGCAAGATAATCAATTGCGTATTGTTCTTTTTTTCAGGTCCAGTACTAGAAGGAGAACTGAAAGATAGAGCAACAATAAATCTCCCCGATAACCAGATACAGTTAGCTAAAGATGCTATTGAAAATAGTCCCCCAGACACACCTTTGGTGTTAATCTTCTTTAACGCTGGTCCTGTAGATGTACGATGGGCAGAAGGTTATCTTCGAGTAGTGGCTATTATTGAAGCGTTTTATCCAGCTCAAGCTGCGGGTGAAGCTCTTTACAAAATGATAACACTGGCTGAACCAATGGCTAACCCAGCAGGAAGACTCCCTTTTACCTGGCCGGCTTTGGAAAGTGACATCCCTGCTATCACTAACTACACAATGGTTGGGAGAACTTACAGGTATCTTACCCACCAACCACTTTACCCTTTCGGATATGGTCTTTCCTACACCAGCTTCAGCTATAGCAACTTAAAGGTTTATCCTCTAATGACTGAAATTATTGGTTCTGTGGACGTTTCAAATATTGGCCCCTTCGCTGGGGATGAAGTAGTACAAACCTACATAACTTGGCCAGTCTACAAGGAACCTACACCACGTCTTCAACTGGTATCATTTGATCGAGTATCTATTGATAGTGGAAAAACATTAACTGTGAACTTTTCAATCGTGGCAGTTAGTTTATTTGTATGGAGTGATGACTCAGGATGGAATGTACCTTCAGGATATTATAATATATATGTTGGTGGTCAACAACCAAATGTTACTAAATCTGTAGGGTCTAATGTGCTTGAATCGAAGTTTTATTTTTTCCCTAAATCCTAATACATGAATAGTAGTGTTGTTGGATAATGTGTTATTTGGTGTACAACTTGCCCAACTTGCTATTGATGTATTTCTGGTAGAAAGATCTGAGAATAACTCAATAGAATCATTAAATATCATCAAGCCAATTAATGCTTACTTTGGATCGGACAGGATCGGAGGTGGTGCTCTAAGTGGTCAAGGCCCTTCTAATTAAATAATGTGCTCTTTTCAATCGACTCGGCGTACAGGAAATCGGCGGTTCCACGGCCTCCAGAAATCCTGGACCGCGTTGTTATGCTTACGCTCCTTCAATAGGCTGGTTGTTACAAAAAAAAATGAAATGAAATAAAATGGGGTTTAACGTCCTACTGTTCTGCTCCGACTTGACTAATGAAGACGGGTATACGCTGTACAGTGTGCTATGAGCGAAATTTTGCCCGGGCAGCGGCACAATGACCTACTCTTATATCGAATTCCAACTGCCAAGGGATATTTTTCGTGCACGCCAATATATACACAGGACGTCGGGTTTTTGTCCCATCCGAATGACTAGACAGCCGTGCTTGTCAGGCCCCCCATCATGCTCCACTGACAAGGGGAAATGTTACAAAAATGTAAGCCGTTAAACCCCATTTCATTTGAAAAACGGTATCCATTTCCTATCCCCACAGCCTATTAAGTATGTTTCTGTGATATAGGTGATAACAAGTAAGGCTACTGATATTTCTGGCGTGTTTGTCATTATATCGATTAATATATTCCACCCTTCCCTGCTTCCACCCCGGATGGGTTAATCCAGAAGGAATTAAGATTAAGGACTGGACAACCTGTAGTAATGAGACAATGTAAGACAAATCACTAGATACTCCCCGAGAGCGAAATAACTTGGTGAAATGTCATTTATTGGCGTCAATTTGGGAAATCCAATTACTATCCTGACTCCTTAAATACAGTTATCTCCCCTTATTCGACCGGGTGATTCTGTGAAATGACCTAAAGAAATGGGATTGAACGTGCTACTTTTCTTCACCAACCAGGATAATGGGGAAAGGCTTACGCCATGATGTGTGGTATGGGGGACTTTTTTCCCAGACAGTGGCCCAACGAACTAATCTTATTTCAAATTCCAAATAGACCTCAGCTATTATTGACTTCTGGTTAAAATGTTTTCATCTGGATGACTTCCGTTGTTCTTATAGTCTTGGGTGACGTGGAGAGTTCTGGCAGATGTCTAGGTGATTCAGTGACAACCATTGTTTCTCGGATGTCATGCCTTATAAGGAGGTGTTCTTTGCAGTAATGATCTAATTATAGGTCTTCTGGTTTCTCCAATGTATGAACGGGTTAGTTTGCATTCGCATTCCTTTGGTTAGAGAGGGACGGACGATAACCATTATGTAATTGCCTTTAAGGACATCCTGTTGTTTCAGGATTAAGTTGATTTGGTAGAGGTTTTTGGTTTGGTGATAACTGTCGAGTTGCTGACCTTGTTTTACAAGATTGTAGGGATGTAAACTGTGGTCCCAACGTGCATGCTCGGTGGATTTAATTCCAGCCTGGATGGGTTCGAGATCTTGGCTACAGATTTTCATGACGCTGTGGGTGAAGGTGGGTTTGCTACCTGACTTGAGTTGGACGATAAGAGAGAAAGAAATGGGGTTTGACGTCAACTCGACAAAAACCACGTCAGTTCGCGACTAACATATGGTTCAATTTTTTTTCAATAATTTGCTTGCGCGTAGGGCTCTTAAACAGTGGGAAGAAATCGGAGGTTGGACAGGCGATCCTACTCCTTGTCACGAACAACAAGGGAATCGAAACCACGCCAGTTGACTCAATGACAGATCTTATGATACAACACGCACACGCTAACCATCCAACCCCTCGGGTTGGAAGATAAATGCTAAACCAAAGACGAAGCAATTCAAACCAACCCACCCTTACCCTGTACGTATCAATTAAAATTCCACCATTAATGTTTCGACGGGTACCATTGTGTCATATTATAGAAATATAAGTAAAATAAAATGTTACAGGTCAGGGGTGATTTTCTTAAAACAGGAGTTATGTCCCTTGTAACACGTCGCAGGTTTGTCATACGTTTGTTCGTGATTGTAAATATATATAATAGGAGAATTTAAGTGCATTAAAGTCGATGATAGAAGAATACATGATTTAACAAACAAATCGAGAATATCGACCCTAAATCCCCCCCCCCCCCACACACACACACGGTGCTTGGATTCAATCGGGTGAAACCTGATTTTACCCAGCACTTTAAGGTGGTACTGACTTGTTCGCATCGCTTGCAGGGTGGGTGCCAATTCATGTGTAAATATTGAATGGAGCAGAATCATTGTTAGACTAATAAACTTTCTGGAGACTCAAAATCCCTCAAATGGCGATTAGTGATTTGCGGGGTCAATTACTTTGAAAACTAACGGTTTAGTTATAGAAATCGTTGTATTGGTACTTTTACACAGTTTTATTTGTGGCCTATTAACGTCTGAATGGAGCGTCTTTATGGAACGATTCACACATTATAGTATTTTAGAAATGTTTGTTACACTTGAACGAGTTTCTATCTGATATCATTGTATCTGAGATGGAACACAGTATACATTAACTAATGAACAGTTTTATATCTAGTAGGCCAATATTATCATCGTGTCATCTGTACGTTATTATTTAAATATATCTGGGCTGTAACTATTTCATATCATACTCAGTATGGCCCATTTGGTTTATTCATTTCCCTGTCGAGAGACGCAATAAAGACACGATCCTCGTCCGCTGTACTGATTACATCTTGATTACATCTTGAAAGATTTCAATATATTCAACTTCATGTGATTACTCGTTATTTGTGAAAGATGGAAAAGTTTCTTTTTATTTTGACGTAATGATGGAAATGAGCCGATCCAAATGCCTTTCGATAAGAATTAAATTGTAATCTATCTAGTATGTACAAGATGATATGCTTATTATTTGATACTCACGGATGGTGTTCCAAGAAATTTTCAAAAAACATTCTACATTTTAAACAATCCGGTCTCGCGACCCTTACCCCCCCCCCCCTCCCTTGGTGGTGGGCCTAAATTGGTCGATATGAAACAATATTTTGCCTGAACTACTAGGCCAATAACTATAGAGAGACCCACGTTAATAATTGGGAGAGGGGACAGTTGATGGGCTCAGAGAATGCGTGATTTAAATTAGGTCTCCTTGGTTACGGGTCTCCAAAACCAATTCGCTTTTTGTTATTGCCCTACTTTATTTTCCATTTTCCATGTCAACTAATGAATAAATTTTCACTGCCCTTGAGGGTTATGTATGTCCTCTACTAAATTATTAGAATATAGTCAATATTAATATGTAAGTACTTAAAATATTGCAACCTTACGAACTATAAAATGTCACAATTATTGATGATCAATAGATAAAACTCGTCGTTATCGCGGACATTTTAATCGTCCTTTTAGACAAGATATCAGTTTAGATACATCTGACCTATAAAGGTTACGGCGTCGATGAGTTTCAAGTTTTCTTTAAATGAGATAAAAAAGATGGGGGCCACTCGTGAATAACCTTTAATGTCGTTTTTGACCTTGGTGGAGACGCAGCCAATCAGAATTTGTGACCGAAATATTTAACTGCTTTTACCTGTGTCATAAATTATCTGGACGGCTTAATGCTTTTAGGGTTATACATATGTATAGCTATATGTCTCAGTGTAATGAATGTCGTTTTCACACTAGATCACGTGTACTATGAATGGGACGCCGGCGAATCCCTCTAACCGTGCGTTATGTATATAGCGTATTGTAGTAATATTGGCTTGTCTATAAAGGGTATGAATTTTATCGTCCATATAGTGTAAATGGGGTTGCACGATTTGAATAGAACGGCAAACACGACACTATTGGGCATAGTTGTTTGATAAATTGACCAGAATAATTACAGGATAACTTTGAATAAATAGGAAAAAAAAGAAAAAAGATAATATATGAAATAAAAAAGGGCGTGTGTGCAGTCAGTGTGCGTATATCATGTATTTTTATGTGTCTGGTTATAAATGAACTGGGTTTATGATACATGACACTCATCACTTGATACACGCGTCTATTTCTGAAACATAATTTTTAAACCGGGATTGTATTGTATGTTAAATATGCCTAGCATTTAGGAAATGAAATGAGGTTTTTTCTGCACCCACTTGGCTAATGAAGATTGGCATACACTTTCATTGAATTGTGTATATAAGACCTCGGCTTTTCGTCCCATAAGAACGACTATGGCCTACTCCAACTGCCGAGAGATCTTTTACATACACATTACAATGGCTTCGTTCTATCCAAAAGACAGGCACGTGTGTCCTTGTTAGGTTTCCTGGCTACAGCGCCAACCGCAACACTCCTGTCAGCAACTCGCATTTAGGATCAGTGAAATCATAGTGAACGGTTTTGCCGTTATTTGGGGGTAAGGTTCCAAATTGGCGGCCATCTTCAATTTTATTCTGGTGTCTGATTTTTGGAGACTTAGTTTTTACATACAGAATACTGAATGATAAAAACTAACTTTTACAGTGCAAATTGTTTTGGGATATGGTTTTTTTTTTTTAGCTAATGTATAGTGATGCAGCCAGGTATTCCTAAGCTTAAAGGGTCAGTGTTGAATATTAACTGTATAATATCCGTGACTATTAATTAAGTTTGATGTTATTCAAGCATTCATCTGGTTTAGTAATAACGTTAAAGAGAAAGATTTGTATATTATGTGAATTCCCCAAACGAGAAGTCGGGGCAGGTGTTCTAATTAATAGAGTGTTAATTCGATGCAACTAATATGAACATTCCCTCGGTCCCACCAGCCAATTCCCCAAAAAGAAAAGCCATTGTTCACATATTCTCAAGCAGAGAGAGAGAGAGAGAGAGAGAGAGAGAGAGAGTGTGTGTGTGTGAGAGAGAGAGAGAGAGAGAGAGAGAGAGGGGGGGGGTAACGTCCTCTCCTTAGGTCATTTCGGAACTAACATATGGTTCAATTTTATTTCAATAATTCGCTTGCGCGTAGGGGACTTTAGCAGTGGGAGGAAACCGGTGGACCCAGAGAAAACCCACGAGATTGGACAGGCGATCCTACTCCTTGCCACATACCTTATGATAGAACGCTTACGCGCTAACCATTCAGACACCCCCACCCATTCTGAAACCAAACATGTAATCCATGTACATATAATGTACAGTGCCCTATATTTACAGTAATGAAACAAGATGCTGCTATATCATCATCAAACAGAA